GGAATCCACATATATACATGTGATGCACCTACACTTATGCCTGCATAAGGGGGCAATAGTGAGTCAGTGGTAGAATTCTCTCTTTCCATGTAGGAGAGCCAATTCCTGGCCATTGTACCTAATGGGCAGCCACTACCTGTCTGTTAGTGAAAGCTTGCGTGTTGCTGTGATGCTGAACAGGTTTCAGCAGAACTTCCAGGCTAAGAAAAATAGGAAGAAAAGGCTGGCAATCTACTTCTGAAAATTAGCCATTGAAAACCCTGTGGATCACAATGTTCTGAACCACAACTCAGCACTTTGTTCCATTATGCATGGGGATGCCATGCATCAGACTGATTCAAAAGACGCTCACAACAGTGCATACATGAATCCAGCACACACTTTATGCTTACAGATATCAATAGGAGCCAAGCATTTGTAGATATCCATATCCACATTCCTATAATGCTCAAAGAGGGCATATATATTCTACCCGTTTAAGTGAAGAGGACTGAAAATACTTACTGACGAAGATCAAAGAGCACGGCCTTTCAGTATGGATTGCATCTCAGTGTAAAAAAAAAAAAATCCTCACCACTGGACCAATACACAACATACTTATCAATGGAGAAAAGATTGAATTTGTCGAGGACTTCATTCTTCTTGAATCAACTGTCAACACTCATGGAAGCAGCAGTCAAGATAATCAAAGGACATATTGCCTTAGGCAAATCTGCTGCACAAGACCTTTTTAAAGTGTTGAAGAGCAAAGATGTCAGTTTGAAGACTAAGGTGCGCCTGGCCCAAGCCATGGTATTTTCAATAACTTCATATGCATGCGAGGTCATCCACTATCACTGGACAGTGAATAGGAAAGACTGTAGAAGAATTGATGCTTTTGAATTACGGTGTTGGAGGAGAATACTAAAAGGGTCATGGGCTGCCAAAAGAACCAACAGATCTGTGTTGGAAGAAGTGCAGCCAGAGTGCTCCTTAGAGGCCAGGATGGCCAAACTTCATCTCTCATACTTCAGACATATTGTCAGGAGGGACCAGTTGCTGGAGAAGGATATCATGTTTGGTTAGGTGGTCAGAGAAGAAGAGGAAGAACCCCCAGAGAGATGTATTGGCCAAGTGGCAGCATCGGTGGGCTCAAGTGTGGCAACAGTAGTGAGGTTGGCCCAGGATCGGGCAGTGTTTCTTTCTGCTGTGCATAATGTCGCTATGAGTTGGTACTGATTCAATGGCACCTAACAACAACAACATGTAACTGGGGCGCAGTATATGTTGAATGAGTAAGTGTACACATGAACAATTTCATTGCTGTACCCTATCACAGGGGCATCTGGCTTTTGTGTGAACTTACTTTTGTAATGCATGTGTGCTCATATATGTCCATTTGTCTGTACATAACAGCCTCACCCAGCTCTGGTCTCTCCCTTCTCACAGGAACTGGTCTAAGGGTGCCCTGGTTATAAAAGAAGTTGGATGGAGGAAACTCAGGCTGCTGGTAGAATTTTCTGTTCCTCTGGCCACTCCCTCTGGCGAGGGATGATAGGAGAGAGGATATTCACCCTGCTCTTCTTTCATGTTTAATTCATCAATTTGTAATAATATTATTACAAAGTTTCAGGCACCCTGGTGGCACAGTGGTTAAGTGTTCGACTATTTACCAGAGGTCGGTGAGTTCAAACCTAACAGCCAGTTCTCAGGAAAAAGATGTGGCAGTCTGCTTCCATAGAAATTATAACCCTGGAAACCCTATGGGACAGTTCTGTTTTTCCCAGTAAGGTTATCATTCAGAATCAACTAGACAGCAGTGAGTTGGGTTTGATTTGGGAGAAGCATAATTTACATACAGTCCATTGCACCCTTTATAGATATATAGATCTGTGAATTTTGACAAATGTTGTTTGTCATGCAGACAATTGTAACCATCCAAACAATCATGATATAGAGTAGTTCTATCACCTCCCCAAAGTCCCCTCAAGGCAGAGGGGTACTTCCCAAGTGAAGAGGGAACCTGGGGATAGGATAGAAACTTACTCTCAGAGACCTGAAAGATGATGCTAGGCAGGGACAGGGCTCAGAGATGTTATGTTAGGGTCAGTATTAGTGCATCTGTTGAGTCAGGCCGACTTTGTTTCTCACTCTGGGGCAGGCCATGATAAGAGTGAGGCAGGGTTGTAAATTCAACACCATCTTCTCTTAGAAATTAGATGTTTTAGTCATCATGGAGCTTTTACATTATAAAATTTTGATTAAAAAAAATTACATTAAAATGCTATTTTTCTTGATGAATTGATTGGTGTCTCCTTAAATTTTGCACTCAGGTGAGAGTCTCACTTGCCACACCCTAATTCTTACCCTGCTTTGAGGACAGGGAATTGCCTGGGGTGGGGGTTGACAGGGAGGGAGAAGGGGTAGGGCTTGTGCTGGCCCCTCAATGCTCTACTTTTCCCTTCTCTGATAGTTTGGCCCCTCCTTGGTGTCTAAGTGGGGGTCCAGGGAGGAAGAGCAGTTTTACCATCAGTTGTTAAAGGACTAAGGTTTCCTTCTCACTCTCTGAGCCTGGGACATCTGGACTGCAGCACATCATCCCATTCCCACTTCAGGTGCCCAGGACCTTACTTTACTCATTCATTCCTTATTTTCTCATGCCCACTTTTGCCAGGACCCTGCTCCTGAGAGTCTCAAGTTGTGGGGAACATAGATGTGTAAACAGACAATGAAGGTTCACTGTGGTAAGGGTAGGTGGTGAGAGGGAGCTGGAACAGAAGGGTCTGGAGGACTATGCAGAGCTAATGATGCTTGAATTGAGCGGATGGTGCCTGCTCAGTAAGTGGAGAAGAGAAGGCCTATGAGACAGAACAGGGAGCAATTCTGTGGGGCCAGGTTGCTTGTGCTGTGTTTTGAAAAATTTGAAACAGCTATTATTGTTTGTTGAGGACCCTTGATTCATTTTCAGCTTATGGCAACCCTATGTGACAGAATAGAATGTCCCATCAGCTACTCTCGGAAACCCTATATAGGGTCGCTATGAGTTGGTACCGACTTGATGGCACACAACAACAATCTTCATGGAAACTTCAGGTTCTTTCTGCAGAGCCATTAGATGGGTTCAAACTGCTAACCTTTCAGTTAGCAGTGAAATGCTTAACTGTGTGTGCCACCAGGTCTTCTTTTACCAATGTTTTAAAATCCAGAGATTCCACATGAAAATCCAGAATTTTGACTTCTCCAGAAAAAAAGAAAAATCTGAGAGAATTCTGACAACATTCTGTCTATTTCTAAATCAGCCAAGTAGTTCCTTTACATAGGCTGCTTCCGTCTGCAGGCTTCCCAGAGCTATGCTATCCAATACCTGGATAGCCACTAGCCAGCACATGAGCTGTGGTAGGAGAGGAAGGTGTAGAGGGCATTCACTGGGATTTCTGGGTGAGACTGCTCATCCAGAGAGGGAATGAAAGGAGAGACTTGACTAGGTGGAGTCCAGGTCAGCCTTGCTTACCTCTGTATTTCTGAGGCCCAGCACAGTGCCTGACATATAGGTGCTTAGCAAAAGTTTACCAAATGGCTAGAAGGCTGAGAGCCCTGCCTTTGAAACCACAGTCCTAAGCTTGTGCCTGGTTCTTATCCTACCAGTAGTATGATCTCAGACATACTACTTTACCTCCCCGGACTTCAGTCTATTCATTTGTAAAATGGGAATAATTAAGAGTTGCTTTAAGGATTTAGTGAGATTATAAATATCTGCACATAGCACGTTGTTGTTGTTTTGTAGCCTTAAGTTGATTCTGTTTCATAGTGATCCTATAGAAGAGAGTAAAACTGCCCCACAAGGTTGCCAAGGCTGCAAATAGGAGCAGATCACCAGGGTTATTTTCTTCCAAGGAGTTGCTGGTTGGATCAAACTGCAGATTAATCTTTGTTAGCAGCCAAGTGGCTAACCACTGCGCCATTAAGGCTCCTAAGCACATAGTATGGTAATGGTCAAATAGCAAGTGCTCAGAATTGTTAGCCCCAGAACCGCCCCCTTGATCTTACCACAAGGCCTTTTCTACCAAAGCTTTCATTTCCTTGAAAGAAGAAAAGGCCAAAGGATTTCTGAGTGGAAACAATTTCATAGCAACACTATAGGGTAGAGTTCCTTAGAGTTTTGGAGACTGTACATCTTTATGGGAGCAGACTGTCTCATCTTTTTCCTAAGGAATGGCTGGTGTGCTTGAACCACCAACTTTGTGATTAGCAGCTCAGTGTTTAACCCACTACACAACCAGGTCTACTTTTGAGGAAACAAGTGCCCCAACATTCTACTCTTCCCCTGAGGCTAAGCAGGAGGTTGGAGGTCAAGCTGAAGGAAGGACTTCCTTTAAGCCAAGAATATCTAGGTAGGTCCTAGAAAATTGGCTTGCCAGATTCATTCCATGCCCTTCATAGAAAATTGGAGTATTTGGGGGAGGAAGGAAGGTCTCATTGGACATCTGAGTGACTTGACAGGCAAGAGGGCAGTACTGGAGGCCTAATAGGGCCATAACCTCCCTGGGAGTCTAGAGTCCACAGACCCCTCCCTGATCTGGGTGATGGGAGCGGTGGAGGTGGAGAACAAGAAGGGGTGATCTGGTGATCTACTGCCATGACCCAGTAATCACCTCCCAAATCCGACTCCATTTCCTTATTCCCAGCTCCTTCTCTTGACTGCACATGCTCAAACTCTTAAGATTGCTGAAGTGGTTTGGGTTTCCTGACTCAGTGAAGGGGAACATGGGTTTAAGTTCTGGGTCCAAATTTCTACCACCCAATAGCTGAGTGAACTTGTAGGAGTCACTTTAACCTGTGTGCTTCAGTTTCTTTCTTTGTAAAGCCCAGAGAATGGTGCCTCCCTCAAAGACCTGGGGACATTGAAATCTGATTGTAGTTTGGTGCTCATCGCCATGTTCATTTCCCAGGTGGTTAGTTCTCATGTCCTGTGGTCCCTAACTCAGTGTCTTCTCTCTCCCTTCCTTGCTCTTCCTCCATAGTCCCTATCCCTTCCAAAGCAAGCAGCCTCTCAGTCCTCTCATTGGCCAAAGACAGCCTGGTTGGTGGCATCACGAACCCCAGTGAGGTCTTCTGCTCTGTGCCTGGCCGGCTCTCACTGCTCAGCTCAACATCCAAGTACAAGGTGACCGTGGGGGAGGTGCAGCGGCGACTCTCGCCTCCTGAGTGCCTCAATGCCTCCCTCCTGGGGGGTGTCCTCCGCAGGTAGGAAGCCCAGCCCATGAAACTTGAATCCTTGATTTCTCTGGACCATCTAAGAAGGCTGGAGAGGGGCTCAGCCCCACCTCAGGCCCCAGCATCATTTCTGCCTCCTGGGAGAGGAGGGCAGACATGGGACCCAAGATTCTGTATGCTCTGGGGGCAGGCCTTGATCTCCAGCTGCTAGCTCCCATAGCTGTGGGTTTAAAGGTGGTGGTGGAGGCTGGAGAGAAGCAACCTGGGCACAGAGAAGGGATTGAAGATTCACACATGTTGAGAAGTATGGACTAGGATGGCCTAGGGAAGAGGAAGTAACATTTCCACCCTTTCCCCCAGGAAAGGGACCACCAAGACCCAGGGCTCATTCCCCAAGGTAGCATAGGCCTCTCTAAAGTATGGGGTGGAGAACATAGGAGTCCACGATTGACTTTCATAGTTGTGTATGTCTCTCACTGTTATGTGTCCTTGTTCCTGTGTAGGGTATTACTACTTTGGGGTTGTGAGTTTTGATGTGTGTGTGTTAGGAGATGGCTAGGAGTATATGTGTCTGTGAGTCTGAACTTTTATTTTTATTGGAGATTTGTTGGTTAGAATGTTTCCTGTTGTGTATGTGAAATTGTGTATGCATCTGGAGCAAGGTATATGAATGTTGCACATGTCTTTACCTTTTTGCCCCTGTTGGGTTATCTCCTTATCCTTGGTCTCCTTCAGCATCCCAGTGACTATGTGAGTCCATAAGTGTCTGTTTAGAGATTCCTGGGATCCTGTATGGGTGTGTCTGTGTCCCTGAGTGTGTAACACACCTATCTGTGTGTCTCTGAGTATGGCTCTGTATTAATGTGTATGTCTCTGTATCCCTGAGTCCTGGTGTGACACTGTGGGTTAATGCTCTGGACTGCAAGGTCAGGTTGAACTGCAAGGTCAACAGTTCAAGCTCACCAGTCACTCCTTGGAAACCCTACACAGGCTCGCTATGGGTCAGAACCGACTCGACGGCACTTAACAACAACAATGTATCCATGGCCCTAATTCTGTGTTTATCTGTCTAGGTGTGGCTGTCCCTTGGTAACTGTGTGTGTACCTGTCTCCCCATGTGTCTGTCTGTCTGCAGGCATGTCCGTGTATCTCTGCATAGGTCTATTTGTTCCTGGGTAGCTGTGTATGGTCCAGTTGGTATGCTAAGGTAGGGAAAAATAACCCCTAAGGTAATTGGTCTATTGTGTCCCACCTATGTTCCTGAAGCTGGATGCTGGGTCCCTCCTCCCTCTTCATCTTGGCTACAAAACCAGTGAGGTCAGGAAGAGGTTAAGACCATGCTGAAAGAGACCCCAGTACCAGATCCAGCCTCAGTAGGAGTTGGAGGGAGCAGCAAGTTCCTGTTGGGGGTCTCGTGGTCTACATGTTTCTCTCTTGTTTTAGTTGTGTGTGTGTGTCTGCCTCTCTATGTGCATGTCAGGGCCAAGTCCAAGAATGGGGGTCGGTGCCTACGGGAACGCCTAGAGAAGATTGGGCTCAACCTGCCAGCAGGCCGGCGCAAGGCTGCCAATGTGACGCTGCTGACTTCACTGGTAGAGGGTGAGTGAGGTCCGAGGGTGGGTGTGAGCAGAAGTGTGTTGTTCTGTGTGGCTGTGTGTGACTGTCTCTACTGCCTACGGCTGTGTCTTACCATGTGTGTGTATTCGTGTGAATGTTGTGCTACCTGTATGTAATGGTGCACATGACGTGTGTGGTGTGTATGGAGGAGGAGTGGCCAGAGTTTGGATATGTTAAAGGGCTGAGAAGGATGAGGGCCCCTTTCCTTGGTGGCTGGTGACTTGTACTCTGGACTTGGTGATCTTGAGCCCTGGCTTTCGGATACAGTGGACTCAGCTGCCACCCCTGATGGCTCTAAGGTGGGGGCAATAGAATGGGAACCGGGGTTAGGCTGGGGGAGGGAAATAAGGGACAGCATCTACAGAAACAGAATGAGACAGGGTGCCCTGGCTAGGGGGTTGGAAGTTCAAGGCTGTGCTCCAGGCTGTACACTTGGCAGTAGTGACAGCTCATCTCTCTGCCTCCATCACCCCCAGGAGAGGCTGTGCACCTGGCCCGAGACTTCGGCTATGTCTGTGAGACCGAGTTCCCAGCCAAGGCAGCTGCTGAGTACCTGTGCCGACAGCACGCTGACCCTGGGGATCTGCACAGCCGCAAGAGCATGCTGCTGGCTGCCAAGTGAGTGAGGGTGCCATGTGTGGGAACAAACTGCCATGGGTGCTGTGCACAGACACCACACGTGGGCACAGTGGGCATCACCCACGAGGACACCATGTATATGTGGCACTGTGTACAGTCATGGTGACACTGTGTACATATGTCCACACTGTGTACAGGTATGGTGGCACCATACACAGGCACACCTAGGCTCCATGCTTAGACTCACAGGGGGTGCACATATGCATTCACAGGCACACATGGGTCCCACACATAGTATATTTAGGCATCATGTCCAGCATGCTCAGACATACATGGTGCTCTCCATAAGCACAGGTGGGCATACATGTAGACACACCACATATGACTATACCTGGGTTCTATTTATCAGCATAAAATGTGTCTCATATAGGTCCTGTGTATGAGGACCCTTAGTCACTGCCCCATGGCACTATCAGTCCCAGTCCTGTCGTGAGTCTGAGGTTCCATGGTCTTGCTCTCCCTGCCTGAATGTTTCCCATTAGCCCATGTGCCCCAGTGCTCTCCATCAGGGACATCAAAACCTACCTAAGCCCCCAGGCTGACTCTCCCTTGTCCTCACTTTATACATGATCCCTCTGCAAGTCTTGATGCTGCCTCCATCACCACCCCAGCTCAAGTCTCTTCATCTCTCTCCTGGTTGGACCTTCTTCACCCAAGCACCTTTCTTTCCCTCCCCAACACCAGTTCCCCTGCCCAGGAATCTTTAATAGCTTCCCATTGATTTCTCAAACTAGGTTCTTGCACTGGGAATGCCTCAGGGCCTGATTTACAGACTGGTATTTCCAACAAGACTTAATCTTTTAGAAAGGGTTTCCATTGCAAGCAAAGGGGGTGGGAGGAAAGGAGGGGAAGAAGGGATGGGGAAGGAGGTAGAAAGGAGTTTTGAAAACCATGAATTTTAGGATAAAATACAGTCTGAGGACTCCCCACACCCTTAACCTAATCTACTCACTCTCTCCTGTCCTCACCACTTGGGGGAGAAGTCTTCTGCTTAGAACACAACTCTACCTGACGCATTTCATGTCACCCTTCAAATCACAGCTCCATGCTTTCCTCAAGTGCCCTCTGCAGGATAGGAGTCACAGGCTCATGGCACCATTAAATGGAGAGACCTTTGAGCTGGCTAGAGCAAGAGAGTTAACTCATCAAGCACTTCCTGGGTTCTAGCCTATCTAAGATGCTGACCAGGTTCCATGGTGATACATCCTCCTGCCTGAGCTATACACAGGATGCACAAAGAAATGAATAATGACCCACTAGCTGGAGCTGGATTCAGAGCCTGCTCCGTCGCTTCCTCAGGTCATCTAACCTCTCTGAAACCTGTTTCCTTGTCTATACAATGGGGACCTAGTCCTCAATGTTCACTGTGAACTATTGTTTCATTTATCCAAAGCAGATTTTGGATTGTTCTCTACTAATTTCAAAGATAAAGTTCTGTGAAGCACTGGGTGTTTAGAATGGGAGAGGGGATCAAGGAAAACCTCCTGCAGCTTTGAGCTGGACTTTGAATATGGACAGGACACCAATAAGGAGAGGTCTCTGGATGGTGCAGGTGGTTTGAACTCATCAACTAAGAGGTCTCTGATGACACAACACTTTAGCACTTGTCTGCTAACTCAAAGCTTGGTGGTTTGAGCCCACCCCAGTCGCTCCACAGTAGAAAAGATCTAGTGCTCTGCTTTCATATTGCTGTTGTTCAGTGCTGTCGAGTTAGTTCCAACTCATAACGACCCTGTATTGGGTTTCCAAGGCTTTTAAGTTTTTGCTGGAGGAGACGGCCCCATCTTGCTCCTGAGGAGCAGCTGGTGGGCTTGAACTGCTGACTTGTGGTTTGCAATCCAGTACTTATCTTACAAGAGCCACTGTAACCAGATTATAGCCCAGAAAAACCTATAGGGCAGGTCTATTCTGTCACATGAGTCATTTTGTGTCAAAATCAACTTGATAGCACTTAGCGCTGAAAGGTTGGTGGTTCAAACCTACCTAGCAGCACCATGGAAGAAAGGCCTGGCTATCTGCTTCCACAAAGATTTTTCAAGAAAACCTTCTGGAGCTGTTTTACTCTGTAACATAGGGTCGCCGTGAGTCAGGATCAACTTGATGGCACTGGGTTAGGTATTTTCAGCAAGGACAGAAATTGTGGGGTTATTAGCATGGGCTTCTAACTGTATGATATTGGGCAATACCTCTCTGAACCTTAGTTTCCTTTTCTGTAAAATGGGTCTGATTATCATCTGTAGGCTGCTGGGTCAGCAATCATCTATATAGTGTTATATATAAAGTGCCCATCACATGTAAGTTCTTCTCTGGACTCAGATTTCTGTCCTCTAACTTCTGACCTTCCCTTCCCCATCAGGCAGATCTGCAAGGAGTTTGCAGACTTGATGGCACAGGACCGCTCGCCGCTGGGCAACAGCCGCCCAGCACTCATCCTGGAGCCTGGTGTGCAGAGTTGCCTGACGCACTTTAGTCTCATCACACACGGCTTTGGAGGGCCCGCCATATGTGCTGCCCTCACTGCCTTCCAGAACTACTTGCTGGAGTCACTCAAGGGACTGGACAAGATGTTTCTAAGCAGTGCAGGCAGTGGGCACAGTGACACCAAGACTTCAGAAAAGGATGCCAAACATCGGAAATAATCACGTCCCCTATACATCCTTAGGGGTTCCCCAGGTCTAACACTGCCCACCTAGGGGTGGGCAGAGTTGGGGCTGAGGTCAGACCAGGAAAAGAGCATTCATCCAGAAACCTGAGTTAGGGATCTGGTTTGGAGCCAGTGGGGTGGCCTCTCTGTGGTAATCTGGATTAAGTCTGCCTCACGTGTGCAATTTTCTGACCTTTGGTTGCTGAGAAGTGCTTTGTCAGGAAGTTGGCATGGCAAAGTCTGGCTTATGGGGCAGAGCCCTGCCCATGTGAGTGCCTGGGCAGCAGTGGCTACTGTTAGGGGCCAAGGCCTTTCTTTTTTCACTGATGGCAGGAGGGAGTGCTAACAAATCAGAGGTGCTGTCTGGATCCTTCCCATTCTTGGACAGAAGTGGGCAGGGGGCCCTCAAGGAACAAAGAATAAAAAGCACAAATTGCAGAACTTGAACCCAGGCTGCTTTTCACAATGCTATTGTTGTGTGTCCTATTTATTTATATGTTGTAATTAAATCTGAAAGTTTTAAAGTGTCCAGTGCAATGTATTTATCCCACTGAGTTGGTGGCTTTTGTTTCTGCTTATGTACTAAGATGTTCAGTTGGACCAGGATGGAGAAGGTTTTTACTTCAAAGGGCTGTGGGTGGGCTGGGAGGGAAAGAAGGCATGTCAGGGACCCTGAAGCAGTCACTGGGATTTTATACTTGCCGTTTGCTGTTGTTTGTCTTGACCCTGCAGTCAATGTACCTTCCCAACTCTCAAATTGCTTTCTCATTCTTAATAAAATCTTTTTGTGGATATGAAGTCCTCCCTGTCCTTCTTCAGCTCAGAACTGGATTTATTTCCTTAGAGGGCATGGTCACTAGGGAGAGACAGACCTGGGAATTAGGAAGGATGGGGATGGGAAGAAGTCCAGAAGCGGGTTATGGGTATCTCTGTGAGAGGGGATTGGTGGGTCTATTTGGATTGCCAGCATGACTGTTAGTTGTGTGTGTATGTGTTAAGTGAATCCTGGTGGGTCTGTATGTGTATTAGCTACTGGATGGGCCTATGTGTCAATGTTAGTTTGGCTATTAGATCTATGTGTCGTGTGAACATGACTGGTGGTGTTGGTTCTCTGTGTGTCAGTGTGAATGCTGGTGACTATGTGTTGTGCATTAAGAGGACCAGGATAACTTAGTTTTCCTGTCTTCAGAACTTTACTCTTCAGCCATTTTTTTCTTTCCTTCATTATCATCAGCCTCTCCCTCATCATCTACTAGATCATTTACCACTTAAAGCACAGCCACAACCTGAGACCAAAAGAACTAGATGGTGCCTGGCTACTAATCCCTATAGCTCTGATCAGAAACACAAAAGAAAGTTGTGAGGTTAGAATGCCTGAAAAATGTAGAACAAAACTCATTCATAAAAAGGAACAGATTTACTGGTCTGACAGATGGGAGGAAACCCCAAGACTCCTACCTTAGGACAACCTTCTAACTTGGAAGTGAAGCCATCCTCCTTTCAGCCAAATAGACTATTGAGGAATGTGCTCCTTAGCACAATCAATTATAAAAGACCAAAAGGGCATTGTCTTCCCAAAATCAAAGATAGGAGGGACAGGAGAACCAGACAAAATGAAACAAGGAACCCATGGTAGAAATGGGCAGAATGCAGACACATTGTAGGGATCACAATCAATGTGGCAAGAATCTGTGTATGAACTCAATGCAAAATTAATTTGCTATGCAAACTTTTACCTAAAGCACAATAAAATGCAAAAAAATTTTTTTGATGAGATAACCCTAACATGGTGTCTGATCTATATTAAACTTAATAAATAATGGTTTTATTATAGCAACATTATAAATCCTTACCCCATTTCTTTGCTCTCTTTTGAAGCTAAAATGCTTGAATGCTATACGTTACTTCCATTTTGTTGTTGTTGTTGTCAGGTGCCATCGAGTCGGAACCGACTCATAGCGACCCCATGCACAGCAAAACAAAACAATGTCCGATCCTGGGCCAACCTCACTACTGCTGCCACACTTGAGTCCATCAATGCTGCCACCTGGCTGATCCATCTCATTGGGGGTCTTCCTCTTTTTCTCCAATTTTACCAAGCATGATATCCTTCTCCAGCGACTGTTCCCTTCTGACAATATGTCCAAAGTATGAGAGACGAAGTTTAGCCATCTTGGCCTCTAAGGAGCACTCTGGTCGCACTTCTTCCAAAACAGATCTATTGGTTCTTTTGGCAGTCCATGGCAATTTTAGTATTCTCGTCCAACACCACAATTCAAAGGCATCAAGTTTTTTACGCTCTTCCTTATTCACTGTCCAGCTTTGGCATCCATATGAGGTTATTGAAAATACCATGGCTTGGGTCAGGCGCACCTTAGTCCTCAAGCTGACATCTCTGCTCTTCAATACTTTAAAAAGTTCCTGTGCAGCAGATTTGCCCAATGCAATACATCATCTGATCTCTTGACTGCTGCTTCCGTGAGTGTTGATAGTTGATCCAAGAATGAAATCCTTGACAACTTCAATCTTTTCTCCTTTGATAAGAATGTTGTTTACTTCCATTTGCTCACCCCAAATTCACTCTTCAACTCACTTTAATGTGGATTCCATTCTCATGAATCTAATGAAATCCACCTACCAAGGTCATTCATTAGTAACCACAATGCCAAACTCAAAGGCCTTTTTTATGGACTTAACGGGAGCATCAGATACGGCTGACCACTTGCTCTTTTGCCCTCTTTGTGGTTCCCAACTTCTGGTTTCCTCTTATTGGTTCCAATTCTATCCTCAGGGCCTTCTCTTCTTTATCTACACTCCCAAGATGATCTCATTCAGTCCCATGGCTTTAAATATCTATATAATGCTGTCCGTCTAAAGAATCCCTGGGTAGCATAAACAGTTAAGTTCTTGACTACTAACCAACTAACTCAGAGGTGCTTGGAAGATAGGCCTGGTGATCTGCTTCCAAATTTTATGAAGGTCACCAGGAGTTTAAACAGATTCAACATCAACTAACAAGAACTAATACTGCTGACACCTGGATTTATATTTTCAGTCCAGACTTCTCCCTGAATTTGGCTTGAATATGCAACAATTTGCCTGATGTCTCCACTGAATTGCCTAACAGGCATCTCAAACTTACCAAGAATTTAGAGCTGAACAATTTTTCCTAAGTTAGCCATGTCATTCTCAAGTCCCTTTTAGGAGTAAGAAACTAGCTTGTGATTTGCTCCAAGTCACAGAGTGAGACACATAGGTCCTTCCATTTCCACTGTACCCCAAGACCCTCTGCAGTGGCTTACAAACCTGACCCATAAGGGGAAGCAGGTCCTTCCAGCCCCCGGGTCCCAGGACTCTACTACTGCAGCATATGCCAAGTTCATTAACAGTGCTGAGAAAGCAGTACAGTGTGGAGACCAAGGTGGCATAAGACGCATCTAATGATATCCCAGTGTTCAATTCTTCCCATTAAGTTTCTCTCCGCACCCCCAGTAGCAAAACAAATTGTGTTTTAGCCTATGACTAGTTTGGTTTAGCTCTAAGGAAAAGTAGATGATTAAAGAAAAAGTGTACATGGCTAGTTTATACACCTTCTTTCTCGCAGAGCAAGAAGCTGTACATTAAATGGAGAATATTTAGACTTAAACATTATGATTTTTGTTACGAGATTTGAGAGTTCATACTAATTTATAGAAAGTATTTCCCTATTTTCTTTTAAAGGATCATTGTACTCTGGGAGAAATAAGGGCAGTCTTTGAAACCCTTCCCTTCCTTAAACCTCACGAAGGTAAGATCAAATTGCAAGTTCTTCCCTCACACACACACACATGCACAGAATTCACTCATTTGCTCACACACACAGGAGTTAAGCAGCCAGCAGACATCTAGAAAGAATCCTGAGACTGCCCCTGTTTCTTCTGCTTGGCACTATTGCTCTGAAGTCAAAGGGCCAAGGCAAGGAGACACACAGTGAAAAGGGCTTTGGGTTTTAGGCATTAGTACAGATGTAAGCTGAGCAGCCCCAGCCTCTGTTGCTCAGCTGATAACACCAAAATCTTCTCAATCCATTTCAGCATGCTCTTCTTCTGAGGTTCTTTGTGGACATTTGCAATCTCTTATTAGTCAGGGCAGAGCTCCCCTACCCTGAGGCAAAACAGCTGCTCTCATAGCTCTTGAACCTACTCCTCAAATCCTGGGAGAGGACACATTTTCTCGGTGTATCAATCACTTGAAAGCTGATGGGAACCAATCCAGAGACCATTCTGAGCAGTGTTTAATCAAGAGTGGTAAAGACTCACTGAGTGCAGTTCAAGGATTTTTCAAACTTCAGGAAATCAATTTAGGATACAGCCAGCATTAAAAAATCCATTGAGGAAAACAGAAAATATCAGTGTACTGTATGCATTATGACTCAATACAATCTATTGGAACATGGGCCCTTCAAGGTGTAGAAGGGTAAAAGAAGACTGATGAGCTAGGATGGCAGAGAATTATGAAGCACAACCAAAAAAACTGGGCTTTGTTCTATAAGCAATGGAGAACTAGGCAGAAAGTTTTGAATGAAAACAGTGATCAAACATTTTTTTAAGAGTACAGAGAAAGGACTGGAGAGGGTAGAGGTTAAAGGTTGAGAGAAGTTAGGAGGCTATTAAAATAGTCCAAGAAAGAAATGTTGAGGAATGAACCAGGATAATGAGGATGAAGATTTAAGAAGCAGAAATGTCAGAACTTGATGACTATGTGAAGGTTAAGAGATAAAGACATTGAAAATGATGCTCAGTAAGTACAGTGTGGCACCCTGGCTTGTATCCTAGAAAAGAGGCCATGAATTGGAAAACTAGTGAGATCTTAAGTCTGGAGTTTAGCTAATACCAATGTTGAATTCTTAGTTTTGCAAATTATTCCTTGGTTATGTAAGATGTTAACATTAAGCAAAACTGAGCAAAAAGTAGAAAGAAAACTATTATCTTTGCAACTTTTGTGTAAATTCAAAAT